TTCTGTATGTTGGGGTAAAGTAAATAAGGAAATGCCAAAACAATGGCATAATTCGTAGTTGTTATTGTTTGAATGTAGTCGTTGTTTGATTTGTGGCATTATTCGAAGTTGTTGTTTGATTTATGGCATAAACAACTAAAAGTTGTATTACATTTTCGAACAAATAATAATTGTTTCTGATGATGTAAATAGTAATACAACTTTTATTTGTTTATTGCCATGGAGTGTGAATGTATATGTGCTTATTGCCATGGAGTGTGAATGTATTGTGAATGTAATGACACTTTATTTGAATTGTTGATATTATGCCATAAAGATGTCATGTTTTTCCATATTGTTTGTTGAATAGTTGGAGATAGATGCATTTAAAGAATACATAATGACAAAATGTTGGAAGAAATCCTAATAATGTGAAGCATAAGTTATGTAAATCACAAATAGAATAGTCATAGTTTTGGAAAAAATATACTCTATTGTGAATATGATGACATTTTATTTGATTTCTTGGTGTTATGGAATAATGATGTCATGTTTATCCAGATTGTGTGTTTCATAGCAGTTGACACTTTATTTGAATTGTTTTTTTTTGCTAAAATAGGTGATTCAGAGATCTTTCAACGAAAATGAATTGGACAATGTTGAGAGCATGCGAATTAACTGTTATTGTAGTCTGAGTGAAGTCGTGAAGAGAATATTGAAGAACCTGAAACCAAATGAGATAGAGGAGTTCAGAAAGACAGTGTTCAGATGGGTGTTGGATGTAGAAGAAATGCGAACTGTCAGTGGTCAACTTCAGCTTGGTTTTCTATGCAACTATGTCAAAAAGGTTAACCACATAAAAGAGACAAAAGTCATTCGCTTCCACATCCAAAACAGTCTAATTAGTTTTACAAAAATAGATTTATGCATTGCATTGGGATTGAAAATGGGAGGTGTGAAACCAACTTTAGAAGAGGAGATGAAAGGACCTTTTTGGAGAAAATATTTTGGAAAAACAGGTGTGAAAAGAAGCGAGGTACAAAATGCATTGATGAAATATAATAGTGAAGATGAAGAAAGTGAAGAAAATGATGGTGTGAAGCTTGCTCTACTCCATGTGCTATCACATGGATTATTTGGAAACCAAGTGGCTAGGGATTTACCAAACTGTTATGTGAATCTGGTCGAAGATTTAGAGGCATTCAACACATATCCATGGGCTGATGATGTCTGGGCAGATTTGGTGACCAACATGAGAACAAATTGCAAGAGCCTTAAGAAGTGCAAGGGGGAACGTGTGACTCTACCAGGTTGTCTAATAGCATTACAAGTATGGGCTTTTGAAACGTTTACAGGGTTGACAATGGCAAATATATGCAAGGTCATTGAAGGAAGAGAAATAGGAATTCCAAGAGCAGTGAAGTGGGAGTTCAAAAAAAAGCCACATATGAAAGTTTTCTGCAAGATAATCTTCAAGAACAAACAGGTAAATTCGCTTCGTTACTTATTATTTAAATAACATGTGAAGTGACAATTAATACATTTAAACTGTATTTTTGGATCTTTTACATGCAGTTTGAATGGGAAAGGATGCAGGCTACAAGATTGGAAATTGAAAAATTTCCAAATTTAAGGGCCAATAGTGGTCTTATAGTTGGAAAAAGAATTGAAGGTGTGGAGGTATTTCAAAAAAAAAAGAAAGGGAAGGATAAGAAAGCAAGGATTTCAAAGAGAACTGGGAAAAAAGGAAAAAATGCAGATGATGTTGAGGTAGAGGATGATGATGAAGGGGTAGTGGGTTTTGGATATGAGAGGAAAGTGACTGTTGTTTTGAGACAAGTCAGGAAGCTAAGCAAAGAAAATGCCAAGTTAATGGCATAAATGAAACTAATAAAGAAAGCACAGAAGAGGAATGAGAGATTTCTTAAACAAATATTGGACAAGTTAGACAACCAAGAGAAGGCGAAGGAGACAGTAAGTGAGGAGAGTGTAGATGAAAGCAGCGATGGTGCAAATGAAAAATTAGAGAGTGAAGATGAGACAAAACATAATATTGAAGACGATGGTGCAACTACAGAAGATAATACCAATGATGATGCTACATTTGAAGAAGATAATGCTGAAGATGATGGTACAGCTCCAGAAGATAATCATAAAGATGTTGTTGCAGCTCCAAAAGAAAATGTTGAAGATAATGCTAAAGATACTGGTGGAGCTCCAGAAGATAATGATCAGGTGGGTTGCAGTTTGCCAAACTTTAATATTTTTGGGCCAGAAACACAGGAAAAATTTAAGGAAGCAGATGACGGTGGAACAATGGAAGAAGAAGATGTAAGTGAGAAAGGAAGAAGTCATGACAAGAATGTTAAAGATGAAGTAGACGACGATGGAAGAGTGGATGAAGAAGGTGAGGGTGCAAGAGTAGAAGAAGCAAGTCGGAAAGGCAAAAATAATGAGAAGACTGATAATGATGCTTGGGGAGATGTGAACACCCAATTTGGAATGAAATGATCACAAGTGTGGATGAAATAGAAAAACAAAGGCTAGCTAAAGCGAGCACAACTACTGACATCAATGCGAAAGCGGTAAGATTTTTGTTTTACAAACCTTAAACAAAAAGAAAATTAAATAAATGAAGAACTTTATGTTATATGAGTAGTTATGTTTATTTTTTATTTTTTTTGTGTGTTGGTTTTACTAGCAGCATATGGAAAAAGGAGTTGAAGAGAGTGAGATGAGGGAAAGCAGAACAAAGCGTAAAGAAGTGGAAAAGGATGTAAGTATATTTTGGAAAAAGTTCCAAATATTTGAAACAAAATTCCAAATATTTGGAAAAAGTAAACTATAACATATTACTAAATTACAGGTGAAGACCATATGCGCACAAATGCAAAGAAAAAAGCGCAATGTAAGGACCCCAGACCGATATACACCTGGAGAAACTAAAGTTCAGGCTAAGAGAAGAAGGAAGCAAATAGCTAAGAGAGATGTAGAGGGAAGTTATTTTCCTCCAAGAGAGTATGGACCTTTTGCGGAAGACACGACTGAGAGACCACCACAAGAAGAAATAAAAAGGTGGAAGAATATCTAAAAGTTGGTCTCTTGAAGAAATTGAAGAAAAAGGGATGTGATAGAAAGTACACGATTGAAGAGGAAAACATGCACAATGTCCCGTTTCTTCTGGATATGCACAAAATAGAGTCCAAAACGTGGCTGTATAAGTTGTTTGTGAATCCATAATGGCTAGATGATACGGTAATGATTTACTTTTACTACTAAAACAGTATGTTGTAGATCTCAATGTAAAATATAGCGTTAAAATAGGTACTGTATTAGATTTATAACATTTGATTTTGGTTTTAAATTTGTTTGCAGCATATTGATGTGGCAATGTTTTACTTGAATATGAAACAAGTGCACTACAACATCAAGGGCCCCAAATACACCACATGTGGCCCATTTTTTATGCAAGTGCTGAGGCGTGAAAATGAAGAAATTAAGAAGAGTGAGTCTTCAATCCAAAGTGCAGCAGACAATCCGGTAATTGCAGACGATATATTAGGGATTGCATATCCTTTTGATCGAAGTTGGGCACAGTCAGATTTCGTGTACATACCTCTGAATACCAGAAACCACTAGATACTGCTAGTTCTGGAAGTAAAAGAAAGAAAAATAAGGATTTACAACTCCAACAGCAGAAGGGCAGATTCCTTAAGAGAAATCAAACCTTATGTGCCGAGCATTGAGTGCTTTCTTCCAAAAATAATGGACATCCATGGAGTGTATGAAGAAATTGGGCTGGAACCAATGAATGACAAAAAGATTGAGTTGCAAACTGTGGAGGACTGCCCACAACAAGATGACGGGTAAAATATGAGTTTTAGAGCTGGAGTATATCATAATTTATAATATTTCATTTAAAACTTATTTCTGGTTTTTTTAACGGTGTGTCATCATCACAGGGGGAACTGTGACATGTACGTTTTGAAGTTCGCTGAGTTTCTTATGATGGGCATGGACATAAAGGAGGTAAGCTCAATGGACATGTGCATGTATCGGGAGAAAATGGCAACAGAGTTAGTTTTGTATAACGCAAAGAGAACAAAGGAATGTAAAATGAAGGAGGCAGCTTCGAGAAACATGGCAGAAAAAGGATGAAAAATTACAAGTCTAGTCTGATGATGCTTTACGGATGTTATGTTTTTAGTATTTGAATTTTATGTAATGGTGTTGAATGTTTTTGCAAACTATTGAAGTAAACTGATGATAATGTGAAGCACAATATGCTGAAATATAAGTGGCAGAATGTAGTATACTATGTTTTTAAATGCCTAAATATTGGCATAGTTGGGAGAACATTATATATGACATTATATTTGGTTCATTATGTAGTCACATGGATATAAATTGGTTTTTTTTAGTAATGAGACAAATATTAAAATAACATCTGGAAAGGGTAACACGTACACAGCTGGATACTAATCATGTCCATAGTGGCAAAATGTTCTATAATTTGGTTGAAAATGCCAAAATGTTGGTCGTTTTGTAAGATAAATGTTTTATATTGTGAGTTCGATATACATTGGGTGTGTTATTAATGACACAAGTATTACATTAAAATCTGAAAAAGGTTAACAGGCAGAACACTCGATTATAATCATAAGTCAATAGTGGCAAAAGGTCGCATATTTTGTTTGAGAATAACTAAATATTGGCAGTTTTGTGAGATAAATAGATTAGATTTATTATATAGACATTTGCATATACATTTTGGTTTTTCTATTAATGAGAGAAGTATTACACTCAGAATGAAAAAGGTTAACAGCTAGACAACTGAATTAGAATCACACATCCATTTACTTTGAAATGAATGCCTGGACTGCAAATATATGTGACAGAATACATTGTACAACGTTCCAAAATTCAGAAATATTGGCATTTTAGAGGAAAAATGAATAGAGCCAAAGAAGTACATAGCAATTGTAAAAATTGTGCCACAAAAACAACATATTACCTACAAATTAAAATCAATGGCAAACATTTGACATTAAAAAAACAAAAAGTAACACAAATGTTAAGTAGTTTACACGTATTAAAAAAAAGGCACTGTAGTATAATATGCCCTAAGAAAATGATCCAAAACAAAAATAACAAGTATTGAATTCAATGGAATCATAATGAAGTAGGTAGTGGTATCACATTGCGACAAGTCTTCTTATTGTGACCAACAACATGGCACCGAGAACATTTTTGCCGTTTTTTCCCACGATGCTCACCAATAGATGGTATCCTTGACTTTCTCGAACGATCAGCTGACCTTTTCTCACAAAGGGGAGGCTTGCAGCAAATGCTCAAAAGATTGGAAGGAACCACCCAAGATGATGAGTCTGTAATTGGATGCATAACAACACTCCAAGTAGAATACCAATGGTGGCGTGTGTAATATGGAGAAATAAAATCATAGCACGACAGGTGAGGTCGAACACCAATAACAGCAACAGCATGAATGCAAACAAAATGAGACAATTGAAACTCCCCACATGTACATGCATTGGCATTGAGATCAACAACAAAAGAACGGGAATGTCTATCAACCACTTCAAATTCCAAATATGAGCACGGCTTTACCTAGAATAATGAAAAAGTGAACAATAATATGTAACTTGACAATGGAAAAGGACAATGCAAAAACATATAAGAAACTGTATGAAAAATCCGAAGGTGGCAGAATGAACCATATGTTGTAGGAAACTTCCAAAGATTAGGCATTAATATAAATGGACAGAAATATTGCAGAAGAAAAAACAACTAACCCTGAGTTTCCTAGTTTGACTTTGAAGTGAAACCAGTTGTGACACTCCAAAAATTTAAATAAAAATAATTTTTATTAGTCAGATAAAATATTTCGAAAATAACATTTTTATTATTAAGTGAGTCAAAACAAAAATTCAACAGATGTGACATTCGAATCAGATAAAAATTTCCAAGTTTACGACTTTTTAGTCAGATAAAAATGGCCCGATAAAAGAAATAACGTTTTTATATTAATGAAGTACCAGTTATACAAAGGATATAAGTAATAAAAGTTGTTTTATAACCATTTTAAGTTGTATATAAAATACACAAAGTACAAAATAAGTTTATTTTAAAATACTCCTAATAAGTCAAAAACACTAACGCAATAATAATAAGAGTATAATTTAAAAAAAAAGAAGAAGAATAATTCGTACATACTATGCAAAGAATAAGAATTGTATTAAACCACTATAATACGTATAGTACTCCTCCGTAACAAAGTAAAAACCTAAACCTACGTAAACTACAAGTGCAAAAAGAAAAAGAATTTTTTTTTTCTTCTACGTGCAAACCACAAACGATTGAAGCTGCAACTTGAATCAGAACACATTTAGAGCCGAATTCAGAATCTTAAACAACTAGGACTCCTTCAGTATTATCCAAACTGACCGGCGACTCCTACGTAGCGTGAAACACCCGAGGAGTGCAGGGGGAACCGTTTCATTTGAACTCCAACTCTAACACAGCCCGGAACCCTCATCTTTCCCTATAAATAGCAAGCCAAACCTGCGATTTTATTCATTCAAACCTGCAATCAATACATACATATATACGTATATATATATATATTTTTTCGACAATTCGTTTTAGCTAGAACCAAGCCATGAAAACACCCTAGAAACCTTCCCCTTCGAGAGAGGAATCCAACGGTGAAAGAATCGTAGAAAACGGTCGTAAAACGAGAGAGATATCGCTCGCCGGAGTTGCAAGTTGTGGAAACGGGTCTTTATAAAAAGCAGATATTTTGCCGTAGATAGGGGTGGAGGAGCTTCGTCTCACCGCAAGGATCATTTTGCAACTTGAATCGTCGAAATCCGTTATCTGTAAGTCAAGTTATAGCTCGCCGGAGTTTTCTAGTTTCCGGCGAAGTCGCCGGAATCACGACCTGGAGAAGATGACCCAGTTGTCTGGGTCAGAACTCTTGGGCCGGGTCGGTTTAATGGGCCAGTTCGGCCCAGTTTTAATAAAAATTAAAAATAAAATAGTAAATGAAGTAAATAAAATCTGGAAAAATATAAATTAAATACCTCGTATAATTATACATATTCGGACCAACCTGAATTGAAAAATAATATTTTTAGCTATTTTTAATTGATTTAATTGTAATTGGGCCAATTTGTGCACATTTAGTAAATAATTAACTAATTGACGAAAATAATTATGAAATAAATATTGGAGTAAACTAGGATAAATATATGACTAACTAGGACCTTATGGATCATTTATAATTAATAAAAATTAAGATTTAGTATATTTAATTGTAATTGAACCGGTTAATAGATATATGAAATTAAAGGAATAATTATGGAAATTAATTATAAAATAGATATCTGGACAACCTAGGTCAAATACAGACCCAAATTATAGTTATAGATGGTTATTAATTTATAAAGTCGATTCTCAGTCTATTTAATTTAATTGGGCCATATAAAACTAGTTAAGTAATTAAATAAGGAAATATTAATATTAATGGTAAAATAAATAAATCACTGAGATTGAAAAATAATATTCTGGACTAAAAATGATGTTGGAATAAAATAAGGTTGGATTAGCTAACATAAATAATTGACTATATGTAGACTTAATAAATAACTTAATTACGTAATTAGTGGACTAATTCAATTAATAATTTTTATGATTGATTATTAGAGATTCGGAACTCATATAAATATTTAAAATATTTGAACTCATAAATTAATGGGTTAATATAAATAAAGTAATTAAATAATATTTTTGAGTAGAGTAAATTAATGGTGGTTATTGAATAAAAAATAGGATGTTGTAGTTAATTATATTCAGATATTGTATTTAATATTAGAATTCAAATATTGTAATTAATGGCTGAATTAATAAGGTAATTTGATTAATAAAAAGTGATTAATCAAATAAATTCGAATAACTAATAAATTAAGTTAATAAATTCGAATAATAAAATAAAAGGAGAAAAATCGGGTAAAATAATAACAAACAGAGTAAGTGACTAATTATACCATCTTAATTAAAAAGGTGAATACTTAGAGACCGGAACTGAAGAAGAGAATTAGGAGCATCGGGACTTAAGGTAAGTTTCACGTCAACCGAAATTAGTTCTTTTTCTTCGTGATTTCTTTTAAATATTTTTGTGTGCTTATTTGAGAATTGAATTTATGTGTGCTGAATTTGAATATTATTATATAAAAGGATTGTATTTGAGATATTAGTTTGTTGATATGAGTTATTTTGGAAGATTTTGTAATAGTACGTAATTTGTTATCTTTGTGGGAGTTTAATGAAAAAGGAAATTTTTGAAGTATAAACTTCGATTGATTTTGAGAAAACAAAGAGAAATAAATATTTTCATAAAGGGTGAGCATCACGAGAGAAATCCGTGGTGTTGGTTTTCCACGTCCCTTAAAATGTGGAGGATGGTTAGGTCTACTACTACTCAATTTTTGGTTTGTGTTGGTTTGAGGTGAATTGTCGGTCGGTAGAAAACATCCCGGCTTTTGAGTAGTAGTGGTAGTAGTAGCTCCTAATCATTCAGGTTTTGAGGTGGGGTAGTTGGTAGAAAACATCCCGGCTACCCGGATCGACTTACTAACCTGGAGGGCTTGGAATACCTTTAGGGGGTGTGCACACTTAAAGTAGTTGTTTCCAAGGAGCAGTTGTGGTACCGGCGATAGTTCTGGGGTGGCCGTACATAACAACGGATCACCGGGCTCAATCAGAGTGTTGAGCACCGCCCTTCTAAATTACTAGGAAGTTAGTTACAAAGTGATTTTTGGAGAAATTCAATAGAGGGGAAATTTTGGTGTTTCATGTATTTTGGAATTATTATGATTCACGAGTTATGTGATTGTGATTGTGTATATATATCGTTTGCTTATGATTTATAAATTGTTTTGATAATATTTTTATACTAATGGTTGTACGAATTTATATATATACTATTATTATTATTTTAAAAGGTTAGGTGAGACTTACTTAGCATTATTGCTAATGTTTGTTTCTTTTATTTTTCTTTCTGTACATGATTTTTGTTCAGGTGTTGAGTTGATCGATGTTGAAGTTGATTTCGAGAGAGAGCTTTCGCTAGAAAACATTATTAATAAATCATTGTAAATATCTTTTTCAATAACTTTAATTAGTGAGCTTTTGATTTTGAAGTTTAAGTTGTTTTAGCCTGTGCACTCGGTTAAGAGAGAACCGAGTGTGGCGGTAGCACCCCTATTTCCCTTTGAGTTTTCCGCTGCACATTTTGTGATGTTTTCAAATAAAGTTAATAATACTTTCCAATAAATCATTATTTAAATATATTTTTGGGTGGTAAATTTTGGGGGTGTTACACCAGTAGCTTTTCACGTTTTTTTGTCAAAAAAGAGGTTGTCTTCTCAGCCTTTTCCTTTCTCTCAGTGAACCATTGTTGCATTCTTACTCTCAAAAAGTCAATGAGTTTAGCGACAGAATACTCCCTTGCTGAAACATCTACATTGTTCATTGACTCTGCACAATTTGATGTCATTATATCATACCTACGAGGACCACACATGCACTTTGCCCATTTATGACTGCCAATTTTTTCTAGCCATGGTCGTATACGGGTATCTTCGGAATCCAACAATGCCATGTACTCTTCATACTCCTTCACAGTTGAAGCCATATAAGCAGATTTGAACTTCCAACCTAAATCAACCGCGGAGCCCTTGAATTTAGAAATCATGTTACGACGCAAATGCTCAACACAATATCCATGATCAGCATGTGGAAAAATCTTTTTAACTGCACTAAGCAAGCCCTTATGTCTATCTGATACAATGTACATGTCCTCGCGGAACATCAATGCTTCACGAACTTTAGAAAAAAACCATATCCAAGACTTTTTAGATTCTGAATCACATAGGCCAAATGCTAGTGGGACAATTTGGCCATTTGCATCTTGAGCACAGGCTGTGAGAAGGGTACCCTTGTAATACGCCTTCAAAAATGACCCGTCTGCAATGAGAACTGGTCTGCAATATTTCCACGCCTCCATCCAAGGTAAGAGGGATATGAAAAAATAACGGAAGGTATTATCTTCTGAAGTTATAAGAGAAATTAGAGAATTTGGATTAGCTTTTTCAAGAGCATACGCCAAAGACGGTAGCAATTGGTATGAGTCAGAATTTGTTCCAAACTGTTTCTGCATAGCTATCTTCTGAGCTTTCCAAGCCTGCACATAAGAAATGGAAATACCATGATTCAGAAGCATGTCTTCCCTTATTTCATTTGGCCTATAAGGCTTTTTTGACGCATCCAAAAATTTATGCGATACAAGCTCTCCAACAGTGTGGTAGGTCGCTTGGCGATGTTTGCCTTGACGAAAATCAAAAGAGCACGTATGTGATGATGTAAATCTGCAGAAAACAAAGTACTAAAAATGTGAATATGAAAAGAATGTGGAAAATATGCCAACATAATGGAATAAAAGACAGACAGAATGGTTCACTAAATATACAGTAATGGAGAAATACCTTCGTATCTGAAACATTTGGACACCACGTAGTCTTACAGCCCTCACAGCCCATTTACATTTTTTATCCAAGCAGATAACATGTAAACATGTCTTCTTTGATGTTAGTGTCCTGAATTGGAACACATTATCTATTGCGTACAGCTTCAAATGGTGAAGAAGATCTGCTTTAGAATTGTAAATAGCATGTAATACAATCTGAGTGGGGTGATAGTGAGTGATGACATCGAGATTATGATGAACAAAATTGTCATTACACATTGAAGAAGGTGACGAAGTAGAGCTAACTTCTGGGGTAGGACTACGAGAGAGCACATCTGTATTGGTCATATGAGTTTGGGAAGTGTCTATAACATTGACCTCATTGTTAACTTGGACGTAATGTTCTTCAATACTGTTGAAAGAAGAACGAATATGACCCGAAGATTGATTTAAGAAACATGGAATTTCTGGTAGAACAGTTTGTGCAACAGAATTTGTGGGACAAGATACAACAGGTTGTGCAACAGGTTGATCAACCAAGAATTCCACACACAAGGGAGATTTTTGAAAATCAGTTTGAAGAGACTTAAGATAAAGGTAAAAACGAAACGTTTTCTCATCAAGGATAGAAACAGGTGGAGGACAACCATCAACAATGTAAGAAAGATTAAAGTGGTTATTTGATTTGTAAGGAGAAAATATGGAAGATAATTGTTCCATGAATGTTGTGTAGTTAGCAGAGAAAAGAACTTGCATATCAAAGGTGGATCTGAAATTGAAGTTGTAGTCATTGTCCCAAGTACCATCAACTTTCACCATAAGCAGAAGAACAAGATCCATATTGACAACTAAGGAGAAAAAGAATAAGAAACAGAACTAAAAAACGTCATAAACCTATAGCAAAATGCCAAATTTATGGCAATAACAAAGAAACAGAATTAAATAAAACAGTATAACAAAAAGGTATATAACCTTATGAAAAACGCCAATAATTCAAAATGATTCAGATTGTGAACTTGGTCAAAAAAACAGTATAACAAAGAAACAGAATTAACCAAGTTCACAATGCCAAGTTTATGGCAATAACAAAGAAACAGAATTAACGTATAGCAAAAAACGTCATAAACCTATAGCAAAATGCCAAGTTTATGGCAATAATAAAGAAACAGAATTAACCAAATTCACAATGATTCAGATTGTGAACTTGGTCAAAAAAACTGTATAACAAAAAAGGCATATAACCTTATGAAAAACGCCAAGTTTTTAGCAATAACATCCCTGACAGTGATCAAGCAATGAATCTCACATGAAACAAGACATTAGAATTTGATTAAGAGTAGAAAGGATGATAATGTTAATAAAACGAAGTAATTAGCAAACGATTCAAACAAAAGTGAATTCTCCAATAACAGTATAATCACCAAATTAAACACAATGATTGTGATCGTCAACCTGGTCATAAAAAAATACAAACGAAAATTGAATTTCACATACGAGCAAGTATAATCGAACGGATTGCTAAGTTGAGTTGAAGAGATGATCGAACGGATTGACCTTGAATTTGTTGAGTTCCAGAACTCGTTGCACGGAAGAATAGCCAGTATAATCGCAAGTTGAGTAGAAGAACTGATAGAACAAATAGGACTGTTAAACGAAGAGCTTATTCGGTTGAGTTTATTCGGTTGCAGAGCTCTGATCGCAAAAGAGGAAGTTAAACGAAGAAGAAAGGCGATGGCAGAGCTCCGATCGCAAAAGAATAGCCAGTATGATCGCAAAAGAATAGCCAGTATAATCGCAAGTTGAGTTTATTCGGTTGTAGAGCTTCGATCGCAAAAGAGGAAGTTAAACGAAGAAGAAAGGCGGTGGCGCGAGCAACGGATAACTAACGTATTAAACTGGCAGGTATTATGTCGGTACTGATATTATGAGTTAAACTAGGCTTAAAACATAAAAGGGGTAAAAAGGGAAAGCTAAAGTAAGCATGTTTCCAAATAGGACTAATGTGATCCTATTTTGAATTAAAAACATAAGTAATCTTATTTTAGTTTTTTAGGCTAGTTTTAGTCCTATTTAGGCTAATTTCTGATATAAATCTTTCAAAAATGTTTGATGTTCATATTTTGGTCTACACCTTTCGTACACTCGTCTATCTCACGACATAGAATTGTTTGTTCACAGACAAATCTAAACAATTATGTGTGCGTGAGACAGAGAGTATATGAAAGGTGTACACCAAAATATATACACCTAACACAACCCTAAGTATGTTTCTATTTGTATCCGCTCTTATATTCGCTCGTATAGTCACCCTTGGGAGAAACTATTTTTGTCTTGAATCTAGTTCTCGGATAAAACAAACATGTTTTTATCTGTGAAAATTTTCATTGACAAAGACATGTTTGTTTTGTCTATGAATGAGATTCACAGACAAAAATGTAACCTCCCAACCTCCCACAGAAGTAGGTTAAAAGTGAGTACAAATATCATTTTTGGATATACTAAATGTGTATACTACCGTACTACATGCTATGTACGTAGTAGTATATTGCATGTACATTACTCACAAGAAATGTGTACACGTACATTATTCCTATTTCTTAAAGGTGCTTGGTAAAAACAAATGGTTCATCAAATATGATTAATATACTATGGTATCTTTTTCTCTAAATAGAAGTGAATTGCAACACTTCTGAAATTACATTTCCATAATTTGACTTGATCAAGCATTAATTTGACAATTTTAATGTTAACAATGTTGTCCAAACTAACAATAATTACTCCTATATTCATTAACGAAGTTAAGAAAAGGGTCACACTAAAACTACATATGAGCCCTTACAAAAAATATCAAGGTTAGCCCGGCAAAAAACAAATGGCGAATGTTAAAAATCACAAAAAAATTGATTAAGATACAAATTTCATTATTTTATAAAATTATTTATTTAAAAAGAGAAAAAAACATAATAGTCTTATTTTCACTCATATTTAGAGCAATTTATATTAAATTTAAGGAAAAATTGATTATAATAATCCCAACTATTGGCGGTCCGCTTATAATAATCCCAACTATCGATTATTTCATAATAATCCCAACTTTAGGGACCTTCCGCCAATAATAGTCCTTGTAAATAAGTTTATGTACTTTCTAAAGTGGATGAGAAGAGATATAGCAAGTAATCCCTATAAATTATCGCTAACTTTTAATTTTGAAGCTTAATTTCTATTTAAAATTCACTTTTATAGAAGGTAATATTTGGTCATGGACCATTATTGGTGGACGGTTCATATAGTTGGGATTATACAAAAATAATCAATAGTTGGGATTATCGTTAGCGGACCGGCAATAGTTAGGATTATTATTTTCAATTTTTCCTAAATTTAATCCAACAAAGCAAAAATCAAAAGAGTTTTTCTCCGGTTACTTTAAATCCTTCCATATCCCGAAGAAATCTTTCATGCTTTTATAGTGTTCTTTCTTCCTCCTTTATTGTATTCCTTCACTCACTGGACAATCCACATTAAGAAAGAAAATCTTTACAACGGCATCTTTGAAATTTATTTTTATTACTTTCATTATTGATTAATGCAATTAAATGTATTCCAAATTTTCCACCAACCAAAGTACAGGATTTAGAATATGTCCTTGATCTCAACTTTCTCTTCTTCCACTTTATTCATTTCCGTGTACCAAACGAGCCCTTACATCTTTATCCCCTCGGCTTTCATTAGAAAAAGAGTTCATAGAGGATTGGGACATCCATAGTATCACACAAAAGCATGTGAAATTGCCATTTTGATTCCTTATGCAGTTATAAAATCTATACATTGCAATAAAGAAGATGTAATAAATTGGTAAGTGACACAGTAACATGAGAGCTTACAAAGGAAGCAGAGTGGCCAGCCATAGAAGCAGCTGATCATGAACAAGCTCAGGCCTATCGTCATGAGGGCAATGCCCAACTCCTTCCAAAACAAAAAACTTCACATTCGGCATCTTCGCTGGCAAGGACGAGAAGAATTTACCAACAGGTCCATCAACGGGGGTAAACGGATCAAGATTGCCCCATAACACTAACACGGGCAACGCAATCTGCGGGACCAGTAATGCCGGGCTTGGACCAGGTGGCCCCGTGACAATGGAAACAAAAGCATCAAGCGCCCCGTCGTCATTCGCTGGTCCCCTGATTATCTCAACCAATTCATCATCAACCGAGTCTTTATTCCCATACACAGACAGTAAGATATTTCGGACATTCTCGCGCTTCTTTACGCGGCTAAAGATGGCCGAAGCAATGGCATTTTGTTTCAGCAAGAAATCAACAAGCAATAACAAAGGCAGCAACAGTTTGATTCTCCAATCATCAACTGTTGCTTTGTTGTTCATGCCTCCTGCACAGTTTAACAGAACAATCCCTCTAATAAGTTGAGAATCTGCAGCAGCAGAAATTACACAAACAAGACTTCCAATCGAATTTCCGATTAGCACAGTCGGCCTTTTACCCACTACTTCATTCAAGAAATCCAATATTAACTCGGGCCATTTCTCTGTGCTATATGTGTACCCCAACGGCTTGTCTGAAGCACCAAAGCCAAGAAGATCAACGGCATAGACTGTGTGGTCTTGAGACAATGTGGAGACATTTCTTCTCCAATGGGCAATGGAAGCCCCAAATCCATGAACAAGAAGTATGGAAGGCCGAGAAGGGGAACCCTCACGCGCTTGACAGACGAAGTAATTTACTTTGTGATCCCTCCAAACCCAGGCTTTGGACAATGTGTTAATTGACTCTAATGGAAGAGGCTCTTCTTCATTTGAAGCCTTGGATTTATTGGTGATGCCCCTAGGCCTTTTGTGACACATTTGAAAATAATCAGTAAAACTAAAGCTTCTATGACAGTCATTCCGCAATTGCAATGGTGAGGGCAGGAATTTGAAAGGGGTAGCATTTGCTGCAAAAACTATCATGATTTTACCCTTGAAATCTTCAGTCTTCAATTTAAAGTGATGAATTTATCAGCTGAAGGTGACCCATAGTTGCATACGTATAAATTATATTAATGCTATAATTCTAACATCATTAAGATACTTAGCAATTCTATAAAAAAAAGTTGCAGTTTGAAATTCATTATATTAACTTTTGATTCTATCTTAAAAGATCAATATGAGGAGCGAGAGAGGATGACTAATTCAATGTCTTATGTGCAAAACTTATATGTTTATACTTCAATAGGATACTTTTACATGCCCTCCAGGATCCGATGTCACCCACAGAAGAACACCAAACTTAAAATTTATAATGTATACCTTTTGGACCTTATTCTCATATATTGTGAAGTGTTTTGAACCTATAATCCAATCTAATGTTTTATCTTTAGAAAATTGTCCTAAATAGGAATAGGAGTTGTCGAGTTTAATCCAACATAAAATTGTAAATATAAATATAAAAGTGTATGAACTAGCTATTTCTACGTGGAAACCCGGAAAGGAGAAAACCACGGGACTTTTCAGGCTAACGTCCAAGCCCGCTCTTTCTCATTATTACTCTCCTCACCATTTACTTAGTACAAATCTCCAACCTCCATTAATGGAGTTTTCACTAGTCTAAGAAGAAGAAGCTGGGAGCCAGAGCTCCTGAGCTCCAAAGCTCCAGAGCTCTTGAGCTCCAGAGCTCCTGGCCATGAAAAATATCCCGATGGGGATTCAAGTTCAAGAAAGTGAATGGCCACAATTCTCACAAAATATCAAGATAAATTTGGTAAATAATTAAAATAAATATAGGTTTTGGGGGGTTTCAGTTCAAGAAACTGCATCTCCCGAAAAAGGAGTTTGGTGTTCCATTATCTCTCTTGAAGCAGCACATGATATATACCAAATTACCAATGTACAATTTTACTGTAAATTGGAACTTGGAAATGAAAGGGTGTAAGAAAATGGCAGGCATTATTCTTAAGAAAAAAGGATGGGAATAAAATAGAGAAATTACCTGCGAAAAATAACTTATGTACTGAGAAGGTGCAGAGGTGTGATGATCAATTGATGAGGAACTTATTTGCAGCGGAAATGGTAAGGAGTCCCATTTTTCTTGGTCTGAAAGTGTAGCCTTACCTTTGAAACTAGGACAATTGACCCATAATAATAATTAAGCATGTGGCATATTGTCAGCCCCTTAAATACTGAGAGTGAGTGAAAGGGTTATCAAGATAGAAGAACTAAAGATTGGAGAGCTGCCTGTCGAAGAAAGAATTTTCTTGGTCAAATAATTTCGTAATTAGGATAGGATGCCAATTTTTAGTTGTATTCTAATTTAGAGTTTGCAACTTTTGAAGAGATTTTAATGTATTTCTGAATATGTAAATCTTAATTATTAAAAAATTGAATGAATTATCAATATGGAGGATTTAACTTTAACATTGGTTCACAAAAAAATGTTGACTTTGCAAATCAATTTGAGACGAAAGGAATATCAAATATGTATGACAAGTCAAATATGTATGATTGAGTCACCGTGACTTACAAAAAAATCTTGACAAGTCTGGGATTTAACCTTTTGGAAGAATGACATAATGGCTAAAATATGTCTTATAACCTTTGAATGAAGAAAAATATGATGACCTTAGTAAAAGAAAAGCCCAAGCATCGTCCGTCCATCTTCTTCACTCGTCCATCTTCTTTGTACCATCTCCTATGTGCCTCGTACAAGGACTCACCCTTCATCTCATACCTATGTCCGGCACTTCCCATCAATCGTGCGCACCACGCACCACCACCGCAACACGCAGTTTTGTTCCACCGCACAAGCACAGCCGCAAAGTTTTTCTTCTTCACCGACAAATCTTTCTTCTTCGCCAAAGTCGGTAGCTCCATCATCGAAGAACAGTCATACAGAAGAAAGGAAAGATTACTACCAAATATGTATGACAAGCCAATTATGATCATGTAAATTACTCCCTCCATTCCATAAAATAGGTCCTATAAGGATTTGGATAGGAGTTTAACAATGTGGGAATAAAGCGGAAATGTATGGTTGTGATTGAGTAAGATAAAGGTAAATAAATGGTAGCCACACAAAATTTTCCAAAAAAGGAAATGAGAACTATTTTTTGGGATGACCCAAAAAGGAAACAAGGGAGTAACTTTTATCGATTATGAAAAGGAAAGTGAATGAAATATCGGCATACTTTATTATAATCAATAATAAAAAATGGAGTAATTAATAAGAATTTTAGATGCCAAAAAACATAATGGCTTCGCCCGGGTTCGAACCGGAGACCTTCAGTGTGTTAGACTGACGTGATAACCAACTACACCACGAAACCTGGTTGTTCATTAAAGATAAAAAAACTGTACTATAACATTCTAAATCGGGCTTCACCTTTATGACTTTATTTCGCACTTTCTGACCCCAGAAGCGTGCTTTGTCCTATGTGGTCTCTAAGCTCTCTTACCCTAACCGTAATTTGAGGCATGAATTTTTAAATCATTTTGAATACTACGTATATTGTAGGGGAGGGTAACGAGTGTAACCTAATCTTGATTGATTAAGCGAATATTAATATTATTACTCAAATCTGCTTGCATATGTATTCATTATATTTATAAGAGAAAATTGTCAAATTGGCCCTCCTACTTTGTACGGAAAGTCAATTATTCTCTCGTACTTTAAATTTCTTCAATTAAGTCATTCTACTTTGAAAATTTCGTCAAATCTGATTTTTACCATGTACCCTACCGGTCAGCAGGTTACCCGCTGACGTGGCACACACTGGCCTAACATGGCATACATGTGGCAGCCCACGTCACTTTTTTATTTTCTTTTTCTTCTTTTTCCTTTCTTCTTTCTTTTCTTTCGTGACCTTTCTTCATCTTCTGCGCAGCAGTGATGTCGCCGGTGAACAAAAGTAGCCAAAATGAAGGATGCTCAGAAAATTAAACTAAAAATACGAGGAGGTGCCCCGGTTCACGACGACCTCCACTGCGTATTCTATTTTTTTGTGCCAAGCCGTAAAACCGTCGGGAAAACATGCCGGAGTTGTCCGAAAAAGAGAAGCGCCGACGAGCTACAAACCAGCCCCAAGAACTCATTTCAGCTGCTCAAAATTGATATGGAGCGTCGTCCCTTTCCATAGAACTCCAATCTAGGGTCCAAAATAAAAATAAAAACAAGATTCCATGGACGGTTATGAGCAAAAATTAATCTTCAAATAAACACTAATCTTTTTTCCCTTGCCGGTCATTGATGGAGAAAGGAAGAAAGGGGAACGAGAAAGAGAATTAAAGGAAGAGAAAGAAGGTGGCAGCAAGATTCCATGGACGGTTTGTAGGTTTTGAGGAAGAAGATGACCTGCGAAAGGGGAAATGGGGGAAGGAAGGAAAAAAAATTAAAGAAAAATGAAAAAGAAAATAAAAAAGTGATGTGGTCTGCCACGTGTGTGCCGTGTCAGGCCACGTGTGCACCACCACGTCAGTAGGTAACCTGCTGACCGGTAGGTTACCTGCTAAAAATCGGATTTGACGAAATTTTCAAAGTAGGAGGACTTAATTGAAGAAATTTAAAGTACGGGGGCATAATTGACTTTCCGTACAAAGTCGGAGGGCCAATTTGACACTTTTGTCTATTTATAATAATAGGTTGTATATGAATACAACTAATAGCACTTGCATTTTTTAATCTGACGTGGAGTTGGAACGCAACGTATTACGGTTCTCTCTTCACTCTAGAAAGAGAGGAACCCTAGCGGTCGTCTCCCCTCTTTGTAAGGGTTGAGATTTTCTACCGCCCCCTATGAATGTGGGGTTGGAGTGATAGATTATACTGATTTTCAGTGTCTTAACGTTTGGGATTGCAACTACGTCAAAGGAGATAGCGTTGGCGGATGAACAAGGTGCTTCTGAGGGGTTGTATCGAGGCGAGATCGTGAAGCCTTGGTCGGCCATTCCGATGGTGGTAAGGTTGGTATTCACCCATATTGTAAGAGTTCGTCCTCCTCTGTAACCACCTCCATACCAGGATGAGCTTTGTGGAAAGATTTTATTCCACTAGCACTTGTTCCAGTTTTAGTCCGAGTAGATTTGGTTTGAATGTTTGGGTTTTTGAAGTTGTTTTGACAGGCAGAATTTCGGTTCCGATCATTTTAGGCCTAAATTTGCCCGTTTCAGGTTTAGCAAGTATGTTGCTTTGTATGAGGTGGCTGAGTCTAAGTCTACTCCTAGGGTTCACGATTAGATCTGTAAATTGTGTCTGAAGGTTGTCCTGTATGTGTTCTCGATTTTAATATAACGGCCACTCTCTTTTATGATATAAAAAACTGGCGCGGAGCTGCTTTTAATCAATATTTTATGTGAACAGTCAAACTTTGAAAACACAAAAAGTGTAATGCATCAAATCCTTCATGATATAAATATGGTGTTGATGGAGTATTAACTCCTAGAGAGAAGTGAGAGCTAGAGAGAGAAGTGCTATAAATGCTTGATATTAATGATTTGTGAACCCCCTACAACTACTCCCAAGGGGAGTATTTAATTCATACTGAGAGCTCACGTACGAAGCTGCGTAGGACTTAAAGGTAAGAATGATTCTTCTCAAACTGAACTAATCTCATCCATTGATGGTGAAGGGTCATTAAGTTATGGGAAATATGATGAGAGTAAGATTAGAAGGGCTATGTCTGAGATGATTATTATAGATGAGTTGTCTTTTAAGTTTGTTGAAACAAAGGGGTTTAGAAAATTCATGTTTGCTGCTTGTCCAAGGTTTAAGGTTCCTTCGCGTTGGACCATTGCTAGGGACTGTTACAATATTTATCTAGAAGAGAAGAAAAAGTTGTGCCATTTACTCCAAACCTCTTGCCGTAGAGTTTCCCTTACCACTGACACATGGACTTCTTTGCAAAAAATCAATTATATGTGTCTTACTCTACACTATATAGATAATGACTGGAAGCTTCACAAATGTATAATTAATTTTTGTCCCATATCTAGTCATAAGGGGAAGATATTGGTAAAGCAGTTGAAAAATGTTTGCGGGATTGGGGAATAGAAAATGTTTTCACAATTACTGTGGACAATGCTAGTTCAAATGATGTCGCAGTAGGGTATTTGCGAAATAAATTCAACAATTCGGGTAGATCTATTTTAGATGGGAAGTTTCTTCACATGAGATGCATTGCTCATATTGTTAATTTTGCTGTCAAGGATGGCTTGAAGCAAATGGATGAATCAGTGAGTCATGTAAGAGGAGCAGTTAGGTTTGTGAGGCAGTCACCGGCTAGGCTTGAAAGGTTTAGAGAATGTGTTGTCTTAGAAAAGATTGAATCTAAGTCATTGTTATGTCTGGATGTGTGCACCAGGTGGAATCCTGTAACACCGCCCCCGAGTATTTGTACTGTACCAAATTATGTATTGAACCTTGAGAAATGTATAAAAGCATTTTTACGTGATTGTAAATTTTTTTCATTTCTATTACGTGAATAGTAGAATTCACGTGGGGCCCACACCGGAGGTGGGGCCGCCCGATATTATCGGGACCACATGTTATATTAATCTTGGGCTAGATAATACGAATATGGTGGTAGATATCCTAATTGGGCCATGGCGATGGCATATAGTTGACCGGTTGGTCAAACGGGGCCAAATTATCGGTATCGGAAATTATCAGATAACAGCCCAAAAAGGGATTTCGGAGACTTCTAAATTAAAGTTGGGGAATTCATATTTTCACTAAGGTCCCACAAGGATTGAGAACAAGTGTTATATTTTATTTGACCCGATAAAATAAAATATACTTAAAACAGTCCGGAAAATACAACTTTCGGGACCGATTGTACACGTCGGGATTTAAAGGGATGACCTCCCACATGAGTGGGGGCCACCCCACGAAATTATTTGAGACAAGGCATGGGCTTGGGCGTCCAGAGGGCAGGGTTGTTGAAGGGAAGAGCTGACTTGAGGGTTTTGACATCAAAAGGACAAGGTAGGGCCATATTTTTGCTATCATTGAGGTATAAGCCAAAATAGAGCCATATCCCTCCCCCCTTAGCCCATATGCCCGACCAACCTAATCAATATTGAGAGAGAAGCTCTGCAAATCTTCATTTCCCCCATTTCCATTCGAATTAAGCTCAAGAAGGAAGAAAAGGAAGTCTAAGGAGGATTAAAGAAAGGAAAAGCTAGGGAAAGTGTGAAGAATCAAGGTAATAACCTTGT